ATATATATATATATATATATATATATATTTCTTTTTTTCCCATTGATATTCAGGATTTGTTTGAGTCTCTCTAAATAAGTTCTTCTTGATTAAAAATAAAAAATAAAATAAAGTATTTAAGTTGCTTGGTTTGATTACATAAGTTTCCCATAAAAAATCGATTGTTTTGGAAAACTTAATAGGATTGTGCAAAGGCAATTTTATGTTTAAGGTAAGTGGTTATGTTAATAAAAAGTCTACAACACTGTAAGGATAATGTTAATTTCTTACTAAAAATTAAAATTTTAAAAAGAGTTACAAAACTTTTTTTTAAAACAAAAAGGTAATTTTTTTAAATAATTACTAAACACAACCTTTTATAAAAGTTAAAATAATAATTACCAAACCCCATCTCGGTAAGAGAGTCTCTCATCCACTACTCCATCTTGCTTAACAATTTGTATTTTGGTGAATACATAATGAATTTCAAAATAATGTAATTACAAAAAAAAAAAGAAAAAGCACACAACAAAATTTAAATTTTTAAATTCATACATAATGACAAGTAATTGAAAATTTATAACAAATCAAAATTTGACATGTAATTGTCAAGTCATTGTGGATAAAACCAAGAGAAATTTTTTTAAGTGTCCCAATATTTTTTGGTTTAATTAGTAAACCATGCATAATATTGATTAATGAGTTCAATTCATCATCCAATTTTCCTCCCATAAGTCTGAAGGTTAGGTTAGGTTTGAAATGAGTTTTGAAGTTAGAAATTTCTCAATTTCCGAGGTCCTCAAAAAAACAAAACAGTCAAAAATTTCTCTACCTTGCACGCCAAAATATTCATGGACTCAGATTTATTTTACATATCAACCTTACAATATATAACTTAAATGTAAACCATACAATTCCTTTTTGGGAATTTTTCTATGCACCATTTTTGTTCACATGTCTTTTTTGAAAATAAAATTAATGAAATTAATAGTAAAAGCATATGTATTAGGAAAAATTGGTGATAAATTCAAAGAGCAGAGAACATGTGACACCAAGAGCAAAGTCACAAGGACAAGTTTTTTTTTGTACTTATTGAGTGAAAAAGGACATTTGTGATAATTTTCCTTTTACACTTTTTCTATTTATGATTTTTCTCTCTATTTTCAAACACTACTGTTGATTACCGTCGCCGACCACTGAAAATTCGTTGGAAAAGTCATTGGTGGCCACCAACATCAATGGTGAACATATAAACAAATTAATAAGGATAATACGGTATTTCAAATTATTTTTATCTTCATGACTTCAAAAAATTTAAATTGGACCTTTACCCAAATTGCAATTTACGGGATCATATAGTTACTAAAAACTTTTAATTATTCAAAGGATATAGTCTTAATTAAGTGCAAATGTGGTAATTCAAACTTTTTGGGTTCAGAGCACAGTTTTATGATTCTGTATGCTTGATTTGGGCTGTGGCCCAAACAAAACTTGTGGTGGGACAAGTGTGGGGGATTCTATTTACACTTAAAAAATGTTTAAGTGTGTCTAATTTTTTAGTATCTCCTATTAAATTATTTAAGGTTACAATTTAGTCTTAGTGCACTATATTTCCCCCTCCCCCAAATTACCCTTTTGACATACACCCAAATAAAACAAATTCATAATATCTTTCTTTTGTTTACGTACGTACATACATAGAACACAATTAGGAAATTTGGCACCAACGAAGGTGGCACCGGTGAAGGATAAGGAGAATGGCGAAGGAAGACGAGGAATATTCATCCTATTTTTTGTAATTATTGTTCAGGCTTGTAGAACTGAACAAATTCGAACAAAATCACTTTGTTCGGTTGTACATTGCTAAACAAAGTGAAATTGTTCAGTTTTGAAAATCCAAACAATAATAATGAAAAATAGACTGAATATTCGCTTTTATGTAATTTTTTTTTTACAAAAATCAATAATTGTATTTTAATATAAATCTCCTCTTTAATGGCTTGTTTTAAAAAACTATTTTGATTTGTACTCTTATTCATTATTTGATTATGTTCAAACTTTCTTCTATTTGCAAGTAACAATATTGTGCGGGGGTGATTTCCGCACTATGAAGAAGGGTTGAACTTCGTGGATGAACAGCAGGCTTTGGGAATTGAAGATCTGCACAGAATAACAAACGGTGAGGCTGCCCGACCGGGGTTTGGTCGGAAACCCCTCCGATGGTAAAGTCAGGGACTCAGGGAGAGGAAAAAGAGAGAGGAGAGAATACAAAGAGTGTATATGTGTTAAGTGTGTGGATTTCGGATCCCTTGAGAGTGAATAGTGTTCACCTTTTATAGGAGAAGGTTGTTTGTCGTTCAAGTCCTTCTCTCTCCGCCATCTGTCCAATGTTCTTATTCGTGGTCGTCTCCTATTGGAGGAGGACGACCACTCCGCCTGACACTCGGGTGCAGGTCTGCTTTGTTTGTCTCATTAGCGGACATCTCTCATTGGAGGAGGACGACCACTCCGCCTGCCATTCAGATGCAGGTCTGTCATATATGCACCTTGTCCCTCTGCACCTCCATGTCTCCACATTCTGTTCATACAGAGGGAGAGGAGCAGAGTTGTTTGTCTCTTGTGAGCCCAAGAAAGATCTTCAGTGAATTGGCCTTCTCTAAGTTGGTCTGCTCTAGAACGGTTGTCCAACCAGGAGGTCCAGCAGGTTGCTCAACCCACTTCGGAGTGGTTCTGTCCATCCGGAAGGTCCGGCACGTTGCTCAACCCACTTCGGAGCGGTTCTGTCCATCCGGAAGGTCCACCATGTTGCTCGGCCCACTTTGGAGTGACGCTCGTACATTGGGCCGAACTCCTAGGATTGTCTTGCTTCAGAGCAAGTGTTGGCCATAGGGCTGAGGTCCGACCTAGCTCAACCTCGGAGTGAGCATCACATTGGGCCTAGCACCAAGACTTGATTAATTTTTACCCACTTCAGAAACTTAAAAAATTTTGACAATAAAATCTTGCCTTGGCAACAAAGTTGCTTTTTTTATTCAAAATTACACTTCACAAATTGTTGAAGCCTTTAAAGCATATATTCTTTTGAAATCTGTAAGTCCTAAATTTGTGATATGGTGTTTACCTCCCACGGGTCGAATCAAGTTGAACACGAATGGTTGTGCTCGAGGGGGTCCGGGCAATGGAGGCTTCGGCGGATTGTTTCGAGATGACTCAGGAATTTGGATATATGGGTACTTTGGGAAGCTGGAAGTATGTTCTAGTTTAGAGGCAGAGCTATGGGAGATTTATAGAGGGCTCACTGTTATCTTCCAAAAAGACTACATAAATGTGTTGATTGAATCAAACTCGGCTGAAGCTGTGGACCTGTTGCAAAACGCAACTGTTGTTAATGCTTCTTTCCGAAGTATTGTAGAAGATGCAAGACATCTCTTGAAAAGATGTAGATGTTCTATCCAACAAATTTTGAGAGAAGGAAACCAGTGTGCTGATAAGTTGGCTAAGCTTGGAGCTGATCAAGAAGAACATTTGGTTGTCATGGAAGACACTCCTGAGGAGGTTCAAAGTTTGGTTGTGGCTGACCTGCTGGGCCGTGAATACCAGAGACTCTAGGCCTTTTGTCTGCAGTTGTTCTATTTCTTGCTTTATGTTTTTTCCCTTTGATTCTGTTGTGGACTGTTCTAATCCTTTCCCAAGTACCAAAAAAATAAATAAATAAGATGCAGAAGACTTTTATATATGAATGAAAACATTGTGGAATCCAAAGAATTGGAGTACCTCTCTTAAGCTTGACAACAACAAATACAAGCAACTGGAGTTATGGTTGCATTGACATATATATAAACAAAAAAAAAAAAAATAAAAAAAAAAAAAAAAAAAAAAAAAAAAACTATATTATAGAAACACCTCACCTCTCACACACTCACCTCACCATCAGATATAGAAACAAAAAATTATAAAAAAATAAAAATAATAATTCTGCTACATACAATCTACCCTCTATTTTCTATTCCCAGTTTTCCGTTTAGCTTCAGTAGGGATTTCCTGCCTTCCACTCCGTTGAGAGTTGGGGCCAATGCCGTTTGACAATTTATGTGATTGTGAAGGGCCTAATTTAGGAATCACATTCCGGCTGTAGAAGAACAACTAGTTAGAATTTTGAAACATATTTTTTTTTTTAAAAAGGGTTGACAAGGACAAAGGAGAGAAGCAGATACCCATAAAAAAATCAATAGGCATTACCTTAGTTCTGGGCTCTTTGCTGGCTTTGGATTCGGTTTCTGAATCTTTGAGCCCATCCCATTAGTTAAGTTGGTAAGTCTGGCATGATGGAATTGCCAAAGCAAATCAGGCTCCGATGAGTCACTAGTGCCAGCATCAAGCTCATCCAAATCATCACTAGTAGCAATGTCAAACTGGTTGCTTCCTGTGAATATATTATATGATGGTTCCATGTATAATTTGGAAGAATCTGAGAGATATTTCTGACCAAATACATCAGACATGTGTCCATTGTCTGCTTCCCAATGTCCTGAAGGGTTGTGAACTCCATGAGCTTCTTGCTTGTTCACCATGACCTTATCTACCCACTCACCTAAGCCTGTTTCTCTATCATCCTCCCCATAATTCTGACCAGGACTAGTGACAGGAGGCCAGGGAGACGAACTTCCTAATAGCTCATCAAGATCGAAACTTTGCCTCTTTTGCCTCAATCCTGAGTAGTTCCGTACCTACAAAAAAATTACATCATACATGAACCCCCATGGATCTACAAATATCAGAATTAAAATGACTGAATAGAAAAACAAATAAAATAACTAGAAGACTACATGAGAATTAATGATTATATAGCTACCCTCATCTGACCTAACTAAAGATTTTTCATGATTGTTATACAAAAATATGATGATAATAATTGTAAAAACTCCACATTTTCAATGATATTTCGCAATGGTCAAAAACAGGGTGGTTTATCTGGACACAGTCGTATCAATGAAAGTGTTAATAAATAAATTGATGTATATTATTGATTGATGTATTACAAGATTGTTGTGTATATTTTGTATATTACAAGCTATTATATAGGAGAGGATTTGGAAGTAGGTGAGGTAGGTGAGTGGTGGTAGTGGATGGTAGTGGAGGTGGTGGGTGGTAGTGGAGATGGTAGGTGGAGTTGGTGGTGGGGTAATTTACACAATTTACAATTTACATTAACAGAAAGTACTACTTGGACATATCTATAGTTAGATATTTTAAATTTGAAAATCAGTAGATACAATCAAATACTTGTGCACAGTAATGATTATTCTATTATTGGAAAATCAGTTCAGATTTTAATTTTGTTTTTGTAACAAAATTAAAATCTATGGTTTTATTTATTTATTTTTATTTTGAGTTTGATTTTTGTAATCAAACATATTCTCTCCTTTTCTCTATTTCTTTTATTCTTATTGTTGTTTTGTACACAACAGAATTTAATCTTTTTAAATACAGTGAAGATTGTCCTACACCTACATCCCCCATTGGTTTCCTGCGGCTTTTCTGATCAGCCAATATATCTCCACCTTGTGGGCTACGATGATAAGGCGAGGACACTATGCCACATGGACTACCAGCTATTTTTTGCTGCATGAGCTCCGATTGCCCTTCTTTCCTTGCCAAGGCTGCTTTAAGACTAGCAATCTGATATAAGAATTTGTATATTAGTGAAATGAAATAAGAACTTACAAATATTCATCTGTAAGTGCAATGCAGAGGTAAACAGCTAAACAAAGAGAATGTAAGAACCTGCTCTTTGAGGTGTTTAACATCTGCACCATCTTTGTTTATGTGAACAAACAGTGGCAACACGCTCAGCAAATTTGAGTGTACTCAATGTTTCTCCAATAGAATCAGGCTCAGGGCTTATGTGAACAAACATTAGTGTCTTGGCCTGTCCTCCTAAAATTTAAGTACGACCCCAAAACATAAATTATCAGATAGAATGAAAAACAAAACAGAAGTTTGAATTTCCTCTCCACCCCGTAAATTCATTCATTTAGCCTTACCAAGTGAGTCTTGGAGCAATTGTGTGAGTTTGCTGTTCCTGTAAGGGACATGTGAATTCTTTTGGGCGAGGGAAGAGATCACATCACCCAAAGCAGAAAGAGGTTTGTTAATATGTTGCGCCTCTTTTAGTCTATCTCCTGTTACTTCAGATTTGTCAACCCTCTCACTTCCGGCCAGATCAACCAAATGCATACAGCCACGAAGTATAGCTCCAGTTGTCAAGTCCCTTCCTTGGGCATGAACAGTCAAGCAACTGCAAATTGATTAAGTAGTACAACTGAATTGCGTATAAATGTTTTATCTTTTTCCCTTTTTCTGGTCAAAGAAGTTATTTTTTGCTCCCTTGTAACTGATCTGAATGGCTTCATGTTTTTTAACTCTATTTTGTTGTGGATCTATGTTGTTTACTATTGGAGTTAACATATTTGACTACCTACTAATTGTGATTACTTATGTAAGATATTATGAGTGCTTATTCATCTTATCATATATTGGCTTGTTGCTAACATGGGTATCTCTCTATTTCTGATGATCAATTTTAGATAGAAAATGGTTTTATTTTTTCCCTAGATTTGCAATGGTTTTATTTTTTATTTTTAAACTTTTTCCCTTTGGCACCCATTTGGATGTGTTACTTTCAATAAAAAGCAATGATTCAATGTAGAAGAGTCTAACTCCGACTTTTGGTACCCGAACTCTTCACCTTGAAGTACATAGATGATAATTGTGTATAAAATTCATTCAATAATAGTGAATAATATGATCTATGGATAAATATTATGAGAAAAGATAGGGATGATGAAAAAACTTTCATGAAATTGGTCATGAAAAATTTATGACCCTTGGATTACCTTGATTAGTGTGTGGTGTTTATTTTAAGTGTAATCCAAGGGTCATAAATCTTTCATGATTATTTTCATGAAAGTTTTTTCATGATACCTAACATTGCTCAAATATTATTGAAACATGTGACTTGGATTGGAAAGGAAAAAGTTATCATTCGAACTAATTAATAGTCATAACTATGTCTTGGTAACCCCATCCCTCTTTTGGCACCAATTTTTAATTTTTTTTTCTTTCTCATTTGTGGTTATTATCAAATGTATGCAATTTTTTGATACATTATACTCTTTGATTGTTTGATGTAATACCTAATGAATTTGATGCCTTTTTGTGATACAAATCAGTCATTGAAGTTCGTAATGGGTTGACATTCCTAGACCTAGTTGTCATCCAAATTGAGGAGACTTGCAATTGAAAATATGTTAAAGAGTTTTATGTTTCTGTTGTAAGTTTTTGATGTTTGATCTAATTATAAATTATTTGTTGATATAGGAAAAGAAACTTGTTGCAGAGATAAAGAGAACCGCCAAAACAAAAAATGAGGTACATTCTATTTTTATGCAAGATGCACTCTTTGAATTATTCAGATTTATCTTATTTTTATTTATGTTTACATTCCGTAGGCATTTTTGGATTTACCACCTTGAGATTCTTGCATTCCACGTGTACTGTGTTAAGATTTGACACTTGTCCTTGCTTTAGCTAGCTTGTTAGATTATGTAATTTTACAAGGAATTGCAGTTTTATAACATTTTTTAGAGTTTAAGACTAAAAAATGATTTTGCTAGATTTGTCTCAAATAAATGGTTTGGTGCTATTGTTTTTAGTAGGATCTTATTTGGTAGATTTTTCTCAAAATATTCATAGCTAGAAATCTATTATTGTATTGTTTATAAAATATCATTGAGAATTATTTGCGACGGTAACAAGATTGTCGCTAATACATTGAAGACATTTTGTATTTTTTGCGACGACAAAACATCAGTCGCCATAAGTAGGCTAGGCAATCGCAAATAGTTTGCGACTATTGTTTTGTGGTCACAAAAAAATATTTGCCACCCCCATTTGCCATCACATGGGCCGTTGCAAAAGATGTTTTGCGACTGTATTTCTATTATTTGCGACGGCTTGTAACGGTCGCAAAAAATAATTTTTTTAGTAGTGGAAAGTGAGTTTTGCATTCATAATTATTTTTTTAAAGATCAAAAAATACTTAAAAAATTAATGAAGCCACCAAAATAAAATCCTACCCCTTTCTTGTTTCCTCTCCTCTTTCTCGGAACTCCCCCGTCTCTCTCTCTCTCTCGACTTTGGTGCTGTTTGGTGTAGCTGTTAAAACAGATTATAGATTATAGCTTAACAGATTATAGATTATGACTTTAATCAGAAGCTGTTAATAAACTATTATATTATATTTTATTATATAAATACAACATATATAAATATGCTATATAAGATCAATATATATATAATATAAATATATATAAATATTCAGATTAATTATATATAATTAAATTATCACATTAAATTAATTAAATATCACATTAAATTCTCATATACCCACACAATTAATAAAGTCAAAAAAATATAAAATAATAATAATAATAAATAATTACTTAAGAAAAATTAGGGTCGCTACAAGTAGTGTACCAAAAATTTATTTATTTGTTTATAAATAAATTTGTTCACATTTTAAATAAATAAATATTATTTTTTATCTTTATATTTTTAATTAGATCAATTTTAATTTTTAATTTTGTGTCAATTTGGTCCAATTAATAATACCGTTAGTGTTTTTGACAAAAAATGATCGCTGAATTTGTTCAGATTAACTCATCAGTCAAACAAATTTATATTTTTGCCTCTAAAAGAATGACATATGTCACTTATATACATATTTGTCATTAAAAAAAGGCTAACAATTAGGGCAAATTACACTATTAGTCCCTCTATTTTGGCTATTGTGCTTTTTTAGTTTTTGTAATTTCGATTGAATTGATTTTAACCTTGAATTTTTTATTTTGTCTCAAATTGGTCCAATTCATAGCATGTTATATTGAGTTCAATTTATTTTTATATTTATTTTGTTCATTTTAAAAAAATTTGGAAGTATAGTGACATTTTTTGTTTTTTCAAAAAATGACATTAGATAGCTTGGAAATTTTTTGGTTTAGTGACATTTCTCAAAATGCCATAAAATATTTGTTTATGACACTTTTCACTTAATGCCATAAAAGGTAACTTGCATCTATATTAGTGACATTTTAAAAAAATGTCATAACTACAAAAGTTTAGCAGCATCTTTTGATAAATGTCATTAAAATAATTTCTTGTGTCATTCTTTTGTAAAATGTCATAAAGTTAATGCTATTAAATCACATTTTTGTTGTAGTGAAGTAACACTTTTTTTTATTGAAATGCCACTAGAGTCTTATATGTTTGTGGCTCTGTGACATTTTTCTAAAACATGCCACCAATTATTCTTTTTGTGACATTTTTTAAAAATATACCACTAGTATGGTATCGCTAAAATGTATTTTTGTTGTAGTGATAAGTCAATAAATTTCATTAAATTGGACAAAAATTTGTCCTATAATTGAATTTAAAATTTCAAGGACCAAAGTAAAATTTAAATAAAATTTAGAAAGTAAAAAGCTTTATTCAAATTCAAGGCAAAGTAGTTGATGTATTAGTTAATAGGTCTCTACTAACTAATTTTGTCTAAATTTTAAACACTAGTATTTTAGTAGTCAATTTTAATGTAGTAAACAAAATCTAAGTGAAATTGAGAGACTTTTAAAGACTAAAATTTAAATAAAATGTGATAGGTAAAAATGGTTTTTTTGTAAGTTTTTGTAACGAGAGCTGATGAAATGATGATATTAAAACTTGATTAAAATTATTACAATTTGTAAGAGGAGCTAATTTGAGCCCACTAAATTAATTAGGCCCAATAGTCCAAGGTTGGTGGGCCCAAATTTATCGCAAGTCCAAGATTGGTGGGCCCGGATTTATCGCCATCAAACGAGCTGAATCGCTCTAAGCCTCGAAAGGGTTCGGATCCACGAACTTAGAGACTTACTCGAGCCTGGACTCGAAAGTGTATTGAGCAAGCCTAGAGATTCGAGGCACTCGG